CCCAAACCCTAAACCTGTATCCTATGTGTGTGGGGGAAGGCTTGCTTGACAATCGGGTCCTGCTGCGTGGGCTGCTGCTCGTGGCTTTCTGGCTTAGATCGGTTGTCTGCTTTGGGACTGGACTTGCTCTTTGATGCTGCAGGTGCTTGCACGTTCTCCTTTCCTGATGGCTTTCCTTTGGCCTCCTCTGGCTTGGGTGCTTTCGCGTTCTCCTTTCCTGCTGGCTTTCCGCTGGCCTCCTCCGGCTTGGGTGCTTTCGCGATCTCCTTTCCTGGTGGCTTTCCGCTTTCGCGTTCTCCTTTCCTGCTGGCTTTCCTTGTCCATTGGCCTCCTCTGGCTTGGGTGCTTTCGCGTTATCCTTTCCTGTGGACTTTCCTTGGTCCTCCTCTAGCTTGGCTGCTTTGGAGTTCTCCTTTCCTGCTGGCCTTCCTTTTCCATTGTCCTCCTCCGGCTTGGGTGCTTTGGAGTTCTCCTTTCCTGCCGGCTTTCCTTTGTCCTCCTGCGGCTTGGGTGCTTTGGAGTTCTCCTTTCCTGCCGGCTTTCCTTTGTCCTCCTCCGGCTTCGGTGCTTTCGAGCTCTCCTTTCCTGGTGGCTTTCCTTTTTCCTCCTCTGGCTTGGGTGCTTTCGCGTTCTCCTTTCCTGGCTTTCCTTTGCCCTCCTCTGGCGTGGGTGCTTTCGCGTTCTCCTTTCCTGGCTTTCCTTTGCCCTCCTCTGGCTTGGGTGCTTTCGCGTTCTCCTTTCCTGCCGGCTTTCCTCTGTTCTCCTCTGGCTTCGGTGCTTTCCCGTTCTCCTTTCCTGCTGGCTTGGGTGCTTTCGCGATGTCCTTTCCTGGTGGCTTTCCTTTGGCCTCCTCTGGCTTGGCTGCTTTCGAGTTCTCCTTTCCTGCTGGCTTTCCTTTTCCATTGGCCTCCTCTGGCTTAGGTGCTTTCGTGTTCTCCTTTCCTGCTGGCTTTCCTTTTGCCTCCTCTGGCTTCGGTGCTTTTGCGTTCTCCTTTCCTGCTGGATTGCTCGTCTTCTCATTCGTTGCTGCTGCCTTTGGATCTTCACCTTTGCTTTGTCCCGTTGGGGTTCGGGTCTGCTGCTTGCATTCTTTCACTATCTTCTTTTTGTCGTCCTTCGCTGCTGGCTTGGGCTGTGCTTTGGGAGTGGGCTGGGGCCTCTCCTTTTCTTCCTCCTGGACTTGTGTGTCCTGGCACACAAGTGCACTAACGATCAAACCCCACCTGCAGCCGAAACCCATCCCTTATAGAGTCTATAAACCTTACACCCTAAACCTTTTAAACCCTAAACCCCTCAACCCTAAATCTCCTGGACTATTCTGTCCCGGCACAGCAACTAAACCCTGGTGGTAAACCAATAGTAACGATCCCGCCATATATAAGCAAAGCCCGTACCCTATGGAGCCCATAAACCCTTAAGCCCCAAACCTTGAGCAAACCCTATATGCCCTTGTAGATCCCAGCATGTCCGGAACTTCTTGAGTCTCAGGGATTTGCGAATCCTTAAGATAGAAAGGGTCTGTAGAGCGGCGGGACACGCACGCATGAGAAACCGAACATAATGAATCCAAGGAACGGCCCCCAACCTGGATTGGCTGCAGCTGCTTGCATTATGCGTGGCTGGGAGGCAAGTAGATTAATGCAGCCTGGATACACTATACTAGCCATCGTACCCACTCGTTCTGGGCCGCGAAGGCTCTCGTTGTCGGTCTTCCCAACCATACTTGAACACTCCAGCTGCCATACGCACGGTAACTTGTTGCTGGGGGCGCAGGCCAGATTGTTCACACGGCTCAGAACAAATTTCGGGATCTCCCACAATTGACTTTTCTGAAACGGGCTGCCAGAGCTGCAGGGCTCAACTGACACTGTCGTTACACGGTTCGGGCGGTACAGAAAACAGCACTTAGAATGGTAACCCACGATTCCCGTACCGCGGTAACCTTGAAGTGACACGGTGGTTACACGGTTCGCGCCCCCCGCTGCCCCCCAAAACACTTAAGCGATTTGGGCCAAAGTCTTATTTGCGGCTCTTGGACTGTAAAAGCGGTGTCACAGGGCGAGAGTTGGCTGCCACAGCACCCAGGGCCGAAAGGATACCCACTCTAGGTTTAAGGGGTTTACTGCAGGGTTTGGAGGCTCCAGAACCCTATAGGGCCATGGCAGCGCATGCAGCCTTGCACGCGAATTGCCTTAAGATAATTAAGGGCCAGAAACCTCTATTTCCAAGAAGCAGCCCGTCCGAGCAAGTCGTCCAATTCACCGGTATAGGTGTCCTGAATCAAAAGTGGAGCGCATAATTCAAGCTAGGGAAGCTAGGGACCTATAGTTTGCCAAGCCACTTCTGGCTCGGACAAATTGAGGTCCACATCATTCCAATTGATCTCCTGCTGGCATCGCGTTCTGCGGACGTCGGCAGTGGCTTCTCGATACCTGCGCAGCAGAGGCGGTGAGGTTAAGGGCTTTAGGGTTTAGAGGGTTGAAGGTGTCTGTGGTGCGTGCCAAGAAACAACTCGGCCAGGGCATAGCCGAATTTAATCGGATAACTCTGGGTCTTTTTCAGATCGCGACCACCAGTCTCAGTTGTACCAGTGCATCTTAAGAAGTCATACGCCATACTCTAAGCCAAGGCACGATTTTTACCTTTCCGTCCACCAACTTTTTTTTCACGATTTCAGGCTTCTTTGTCCTGGTGCAATATATATGGATCTAGGTTTTGGAGTTGGGGTCTACGGTTGAGGGTTTATGTCTGCGGCATCACCAGCTGTCCTTTTCGCGAGCGCAAGTCGCGCGGAACGCATAATGCTGGGTTTGCGCAGTTTCCAGATGCATGGCAATGTTGAGTACACCCTGCGCAAGGTAGTCCCGATAGTAAAAGCACATGTTTAAGAAAAAAGGCCCAGGTTTAGGGGTTTAGGGTTTAGGGTTTAGGGTTGATATAAGCCATCGACTTGTTGCATGCAAGTGGCACTGTCGGCTTCACTGAGTCAGCTCCGTACGCGCACATGCAAAAGGAAACCCGGACAGCTTTACAAGCGCGAAGGGTCGCGGCCATAGCAGGGTAGTACCAGAGCACCTTAGATCAACCGATCAACCATTCTGGTGTGTAGGGCGCGAGATTCTGGAGACCAATACAGAAAACATACATCTAAACCCAAAATCCTAAACCCTAAAACCGAACCACCCGGCCTATAAAAAATTGAGACTCGAGACGGAGGAGGCTGGCTGCTCAATAGACCAGTAAACGTTGAGCTGGGATGCTAAACGCAGGATGTGGCATAATCTCTCGATCAGTGCATTGTGAAGTCTCACTGACCGGCTCGTGTTATACCATCCCATTGGATCTGCACGACTTCTTCCTGTGCTACCGCGACTCATATATACCCACGTCCCGCAAGGCGGGGCAGCATGGAAAAAACCATAGGGCGAAGCGTTGATCACCTAAAGCTAGGCAAGCTGAAGCTGAATACATCATGTGCTGCGATCTTCCCTGTTTGAAGCCAAGTGGCAGCACCAAGCAGGACAATGAAACCAACTGCGCGCATTAAATCGTGGTTCCTGGAGTGGCGCACCTTGAATCCAGACGCGGCATGCATGGGAAGTAACCCTGTGGTATTAATAAATTCGGGGCACATCCATTCTCTTGCCCTTGAAGCCGCAATCAACGAAAGCGCGTGTCAGCTGGGCATCTCCTGCAGCGAACTCCACCTTGGGCAAGCCATATGTTAGGGCGAGGCCTAGGGGCGGTAGGGTGACAGACGACTGCAAGGGTTTCATGTATGCGTGCAAGGATCGAAATCGTTTCTGAGCTCTGCAGGATTCTGCAGCCCAACCTCCTTCTGGAGGAACGCCAACACCACCGCCAACGCTGCAAGCTTCATGGATGCGGGAAGCTAAGCTAAATCTTAATCCTGGATTTCCCCGTATAACTCTAAACCTTAAACCCTAAGCTCTAGCATCCTGGGATAACATGTGCGAAATGAGAGTCAGATTTTGCCGGTGCCTAGGAGAATTATCATGAGTTTCTTTAGGGTTTAGGGTTTAGGTTTAGGGTTTGGGGTTATGAGTACAGGATAATTATGGAAGGGATCTGAGACCTTGAAGCAGAATGACAGCAGATTGCTCAATAGTTGCGTACACAAGCGACAGCCAATCTCACCCAAGCCACAGGAATGCACATATTTCGCCCAGCGCATTGTTCCCCACGCAGGGCGTGGAACCTTACCGTGGGCAGCAGCCTTCAGCTTTGCCTGCGCAAGGCCAGGAATGAGTTATTGTTCAGATTATAGAAGTTCCATGAACAACGCCTAGTCCTCCATGCCACTTCCGCCGTTGTCAGACTCACTCATTTCCTCATCATCATCCTCCACGTTAGAGGGCTGGGGGCTTGGGGCAGAGCGGGTCTTAGCTTTAGCTTTTGCTTTTCCTTTGGCCTTGGCCTTTGCTTTGCGCTTCAGGCTTCTTCCGTCAGGGGCACTATCCACACAGCCTGCCTTTTCAGCACTTTTGCGACTTGCAAAGCTTTCACCCTTGGAGTTCACATAGGTGGGATATATCTTATCCTTTTGCTTTCCGGAAAGGCGCCTCCTCATCTCCTTGAGCCAGCCGTCGTTCAATGGAACCACCTCCACCACCGCCTGCTCCTGCGGCATCCTGTCCGAGATGTTGTTTTGGGATATGGGGTTAAATTTGGATTGGATTCATGCGCATTTCTGATAACAGCTTGCCTTCGATTTCCTCGTTCTTTTTTGAGCAGCGCCAACTGCTCGGCTGGGGATGGGGGCGGCTGGGCTATTTGTCTGAGCGCCGCGGCAACGTGTAGCGCGCCTGAGGCGGGGCTTCAAGTTAATGGGTTATGGGGATTGAAGCACAGGAGGGCTTTAGGATATATAGGGTATGACCGGTTATTTTTCAGTTCAGGGATTTAAAGGGCTTAGGGCGCAGGGCTTAAACTAGGATCAAGGCTTAACCCCGTAACCTGAAAAACCCATTTGGCTCCACTTGGCCTCCAAGATCCACGGAACTGTCGCCCCTGCCAAACTGTGGACCGCTGTCCTGCACGTAAGCCTTTTGGCTTTCCTTGCTTTCCTTCTCCTCCTGGGATGCCATTTCATTTTCGCCACCCTGGCTTTCCTGATCCTCTTCTTCGGTCCTTGCTTCCTCTTCTGGATCCTTCTTTTCCTGCGACGCCCTTTCCCCTTCGCTATCCTCCTTCTCTTCTGCTCCTTGCATTTCCTCCTGACCCTCTGCTTCGCTGTCATGCTCCTTTTCACTTCCCTTCTCCATTTCCATGTGGCTTTCTTCCTTCTCATGGCCCTGGCTTTCCTCCTCTCCTCCAGTCTTTGCCTCCTCTCCTGATTCCTCGTTGTCCTTTTCCGCTTCTGCTCCACTTTCCTTTTCCTCTTCCTCGCTAGCCATTTCCGCCTGGCTTTCTTCTTTCTCCTCGGGCCCTTCGCTTTCCTGACCCTGCTGCATACTCTTTGCTTCCTCTCCCTGATCCTGTTCATCCTCGCTGTGCTCCTTTTGCTCACATTTTTCCTGATCTTCTGCTTCGCTTTCCTCTTCCTCCTTCTCGCTAGCCATTTCCGCCTGGCTTTCTTCTTTCTCCTCGGGCCCTTCGCTTTCCTGATCCTGCTGCATACTCTTTGCTTCCTCTCCTTGATCCTGATCTTCCTCGCTCTGCTCCTTTTCCTCACTTTCCTCCTGACCTTCCGCTTCACTTTCCTTTTCGTCCTCGTTAGCCATTTCCGTCTGGCTTTCTTGCTGCTCCTCATGGCCCTCATGGCCCTGGCCTTCCTGATCCTCCTCTTCGCCTCCTGCTTCCTTCTCTGGATCTTTATCTGCCTCCGACGCCCTTTCCGCTTCGCTATCATCCTTTTCTTCTTCTCCTCGGGTCTCCTGCAGATTCTCTGCTTCGCTGTGATGCTCCTTGTCGCTTTCCTTTTCCTCCTCCTGGTTTTCCTCATCCTCATTCACACTATTTGCTTCCTCTCCTGCATCCTCTTCTTCACCCTCCTTTTCCTCCCCGCTTTCTTTGCCCTCCGCCTCTTCCTCGTCTTCTGCCTCATCTTCGGCCTGAAAAAGGGGGGGGGAGGGGGCAGATTGCTGGTGTGATTTAAATTCCGGGCTAGGGATATGAAAAAGTAAAGGCCAAACCCTGGATTTCCATTATGTCAGTTCTTGCGGGAACTCTACATGAGCGGGCCCCAGCCATTAATGTCAATTACATTGGGAACTCTACATGAGCCGTACCGCAAAAAATTCTGGATTTATCCCTAGGATGCTTTTGGGAGTCGACTGTGGGAGGAGTGTTTCGGGTTCAGGGCTTGGGCTTTGGGGTTTAGGGATATGAAAAAGTAAGGCAAAGCCCTGGATTTCCATTATGTCAGTTCTTCTAGGAACTCTACATGAGCGGGCCCCAGCAATTAATGTCACTTGTATTAGGAACTCTACAGGATCCGTACCATAGAAATTCTGTGTCTACGCATAGGATGTTTTGGGAGAGGCAGTCAAAGTAACCATCCTGAGGGAGACCGTGTAGCACCCGAATCCCAAAAAAAATAAATCTTTAACGATCCTCAACCCAAAAGCCCCCGGGCATTGCTTGACCCTGGAGCCTCCTCGCCCAACAGAGCTTCCATCTCTTCATCAAATCCTGTCATAGGGTTGAATTCGGGCCTGTGCTCAATTACGACTGCCCATTAAAAGCCAAACTCTGCAAACCCTGTTAACGCCTTCTGGTGGAACGATTTGGGTCTCCAACGTGTTGGGATCCACGGGCATCGTCCTTCAATGCGTGGCTGCTTTAAACCCTAAATATCATGACGCTAGTGTCTCCTGGTGCCACTCGACTTTGTAGCCTGCTTGCTACGAACAACCTTCGCCATCATATCATTGCATCGGTCTGCCTGCACGTGGAATCCCAGACAAACATGCTAGCTTGAAGAGACTCAACTGAGGCCTGATAGCTGCACCAGTTCTCCGTATCCATGCCATTTGGACCTGATGGATCAAGGGACTACTCTCTTATTAAGCTGTGCGGTATAGAAGGCTAGACTGAGATCGAGGCACAGATTATCAGTGGCATTCATACGCCGAAGTACAGCCAAAAGGGTTGTTCGGCTCGGGCGTCTCTTCAAGTTCCTAAGCGCGCTGGCCCCATGCACGCGCAACAGAAACGACCATAGGCAAGCATGTGTACTAAAGTTCAGATAAGGCACGCCTTCAGGTAAGCTTCCTTGAAAGCCTGGTTCTTTTTTTTCCGGAGGTCCCCGCCTTGGCATATAATATGGGTTTGTAGCGGTCATGGGTTTGTAGGATGTCAGGTCTAACATTTGAAAGTTCAGCAAAGGGTCCCGCCACCATGTCGCCACTGCGCTTGATAGCCGCCAGGTCCAAGTGCTCTCTAAAAGCAGCTTCCAATTCCCTGCATGCATATGACATTTCGATCAAAGACTGACGATAGGTAAACGAAACTCATATTTGCTGGCGAGGGGCGCCCCCGGGGCTTCCACTTTCTTTCTCGGCATGGCTCGCTAGCTGCTACTGTAGCCCGTATACTGGATGTTATCCGCCATGTTCTGAGAGATTCATTTGGCTCCCTAAGACCTAGCGTTTAAAAGGCCCAGGCCCACCTCTATAGAAAACGGCCTAGACACACAGGCCCTCCTGTAGAAAAACCGGCTTAGACCGTATCTGGATCGAATGGAAACAACGGGATACAGTGATTTCAACTCTGTGCATGCGTGCAGGCACTGCAAGACAATGCATGCACAGCACTTCCGACTTTTGTTTGCCCAGTCACGTGTAAATATCATAGTGCCATACAGCACATCTCCAGCCACGAGCAGATATAGCACCATATGGCGCATCAATTTCCATATTCCATTCGTTCCCAACCTCAGATTTCCATGCAACCATCACCTCCAAAGCTTCAAAGCCCAAGCAGGACCTTAACTAAAATTGGAGCCAAGGAACCTTGCATCCGATCATCCTGCGATCCTGGATAACGATTGCGGTTCCTTGGATCAATCAATGCTTTGAAATATATTGGGTCTGATCAGGGCTTCCGTGCGCTCCCCACAGGAGCAGTACTCAAACCTTACCACTATATACCCGAAGCCCTATATCCCTAACCTTGCACCCCTAACCAATATCAAAAAAATCCATGGATAGTGATTCTGGTGCCTTGGATTTTTCAGAATTTCGTTCTGGGCTGGCCCTGATCCCGAACCCGAATCCTTCCCCAGGCCCTAACCCTTAGCCCTAACTCACCCCAATACCCCTTAGCTCTAATTCTCGATCTGCGCGGGAATTTTGTTGTTAATTCTGGCCCGGCGCCGAGTAGGTTGAACCCAAAGCCCTAATCCCGAACCCAGAACCCTTCCCTAGCCCCAGCCATTTACACTACGTAACTTCTTTGGGAGAACTTTGTGCCTGGTTCTGGGCTGGCGTGAGGTTTATTCAGAAACCCTCATCCCAAACCCTTCGCTAGCCCTAAACCAGCTTCAACCCATTGGGCGAACCCTAGACCCTAGCCCTAACCCTGGACCGAACCCTTTCAGACAACTTTTTCCTCGAATCCTGATCCTGAATCGCTGCACAGGGTTTAGGGTTTAGGGTTAGGGATTTTATATATAGGGTTCAGGGTTAGGGTATATATGGACCTATCAGGACCAGCACACGGAAGCCCAGCAACCGCAAACTACCCTTCCAAAAAGGTTTAGGGCTAAGGGTTGGGGCTAGGGTCAAGGGTCGAGGGTGTCAGGATCTGGGTATCGGGCATGGAGCATAGCAGCCCAAAATTGGAACCATTATTCCACGTCGATCGACAGAAACTTTCTATCCTGATCGCCCTTAAGGGTTAGGGCTAGGGGTTAGGGCTAGGGTCAAGGGTCGAGGGTCTCAGGATTTGGGTATCGGGCTTCCAACATATTAACCCAAGGCTGGAACCATAAACCCACGAAATCCTCAATAGCATTCTATAGACCCTGATCGCCCCAGCCATAATTTCGGTCAAAGCCCTTGACCATACACCCCGGAGCCCCTATATACATTTTACCCTGATCGCCAAAAACCCCAATGACTGCTTAAACCCCTATAACCCCAAAACCTCCCTAGTCAGAAAAACCCTGAATGCCGCCCAGGGGTCGATGCAGTACGCCTGCGATGCGTGGATTTAAAGGTTTGGGTTTATGGGCTTTGGATTTTAAGGTATAAGGAGTTTAAATTCAAGACGTAGGGTTTCACACGCGGGTTTAGGAAGGTCTGATCCCTGAGGTATTACGGCTTGGGTTTTTTAGGGTTTAATGGGGCTTTAGATTGCGCTGTGCATGCTGGCCACTGGGTTAGGATTTAAGGTTTAGGTTCTGGGCGTAGGTTAAACGCGGGTTTACGGAGGTTTGATCCCTGAGGTCCTATAGTACGGCTTAGGGTTTTTAGGGTTTCATGGGGGTTTAGACAGATTGTGTCGAGCTGGGCACCGGCTTAGGATTTAGGCTTTAAGCTTTGCAGCGGTTTCGCAATTTCGGGGTGCTCTGTCCCTGAGGTCTCGGCCTGCCCTATGAACCCTAAAGAAAGCCTCATCCTAATTAAAGATTGGAAAGAAAAGAAAAACCCTAAAC